CTTGGTTGTCAGTAAGGTTAAGTATCTCACCCAAGAATACTAGAAAGTGGCAAAATGGGATGAAAACCCTCTCTTCCAGCACTCTTACCTCCACACCCGCTTGACTTTCCTGTTTACTCCTACACATCACACATCTAACTTCCATAGAGAGTCCAGCTTCCATAGACCCCTTCTAAGCTGTTTGTCACTAAAGTTTTGAAGAAGTGAGAACTTTTGCAAACTTTATCAAGACACTGGAACTGTGTTTCAAAACTTTTAGTCCCTCCTGAACAATGATTGATTATACATACTATCATTTTAACTTGTTCTTGTTTTAAGTTATTTTATTTTATTTATTTTTAAAATTTCATTTTACCTTTCTCCCAGTCTCCACAGTCTAGGTTTTGGTCTACTTAAGGAAGACACTCAATTTCAGTATTTTCATGTCTTTCTCATTCACACATTTTCTAAGTAAACATGCTTCAAGTCCTTAAGCAGTTGGAGTTACATGAAGAGACTGAAAAAAGAAAAGAATCCTTTCGAGATTTCTGAAACTTTGAAATGATAGTAGGTCATACAATCTTCAGGGAGTTAGCCTTTGAGGGTGGACAGCTTATCTGTGTATCCTGCATCTTTTATAGAAAGAAACAATAACCGGCTCCCTCGGTCGGGGATTCTTGTCGCCGCCCAGTGGAGGGAAGCGCGTTTGCACCTCATTACAGTCAGCTGGCACTGTAGTCCTGTGGACCCTGAGAAACGTTCAAATGAAATGTTAAAAGAAACCCCAGCTTCAAGTTCATAACAATTTTTTTTGTAAAGTTAAGCTAATATTTTAGAAAACTGATGCTTCAGTTTAAAAGACTCCCAAATCTAGGTAGTGAAAGTGGTGGATGTGTTAAGGTACAAAACTTAAGATATGTCCAAGTATTTAAATTATTCTCTGTGGTGAGAAGGAAGTATCACTGGTATTGACTGGTACTGATATGTCCTTCAGAGCCAGCAAGGAAATGTTTGTTCTCTATCATTCACAGTTTGGAATATAACTGTTTTCTAGGCATTGATTCCAAAATCTTCCCAGAATTAAAGTTTTTTTTTTTTTCATCCTTCTTAAGAAGAAAAGGTGGACCTGGAAGTGGGTGACTATCTTAAAATTCACGTCAGTTTAAGGACTCTACTTATTGTTGTCTTTAATACAGTGAGAAAATTTGAGATTAAATTCAGTTAATGCATAGCTATTCACGTGGAAAATTGACTAATCTGCGCCCTGATTTATAGAAAATGTGGTTTTTAAATGTCCACACTATATATATGTTCGGGGGTCGGGGAATGGCAAAAGAGGACTGTCTGGAGAAAAAAAAGAATGGAGAAAAGTTAAACAAGATCTTTTCTGAAAAATTTGTTTTTCATGAAGTGTGTATGATTTGGTCTTTGAGTCCCTCTTTTGATTGTTTAGGCCATTACTAACATTTCCTCTCTGGCAGGGACCCAAATATAAGGGCGTCGATAAAAGTCAAGGTCGTATTTTCCTTCACCATTGTTGCTCCCGAAAGTTAATCTTTCAATACCCAACCAAAGAAATTGTCTATGATATTAACCTTTTTTTTTTTTAAAGAAAAAATGACCTGAAACATTCACAAGGTGGGGGTCTACTGGGTCCCTGGATGCATAAACCACGCATTCCCCTCCCCCAACGCTTCGCCCTTCCTCTTTTCCTTTCCTTTCCGATTTCATTTTTTTTTTTCCGTAGGGTCATATTTCGTCGTCTCCCCTGCCAATGTTGTGAATTATTCCAGGCAAAAAACGCTGTCGAACCGCCCAACACAAGCTGTGCCATCAGCCTTTTGAGCTCTTGAGTCATTTTAGGCGTCGAAACAAAACAAAAACAGGCTTAAATGAATTATTTATCAAGGTCGAGAATAATTGATTTGTGCAGTGCCGTCAGTTCTGGATTTTAAATTTGTTTTTCTCTCCCTTCCCACTTCCCACCCTGAATGCGCAGCGAGGGGAGTACGAGTTGGAGACCCAAGGGCGAGGAGGAAACGCACCTCAATTGGGAAGTTGGTGGGTGATGTCAGAATGGGAAGAACCCTAATCGATAATTGAAGAGGAAAGAAAGTGGAGCATTCGTTGGCAGTCTCAGGCAGCTCTATCGCCCTGCCCGCTCTTCCCACGTTGGTCAACAAGGCCAGAGGCTACGGGCGTGAACCCCGCGAGGGTGTGCTGCGCCGGGCCTAAAGTTGGGGGTGGGGTTTCCGCCTCGGATATCCATATTGCCTTTGTACGTTCCCCGCCGGTGGTCGTGTAACCCACGGCTAGAAGGAAGGCCAAGGCCTGGGCCCGAAAGCTCCGGGGAGGGTGTGTCTGGCCTCACGCAGTTCCCGCGTCAAAGACGACAGATCCAACCAAGGTCCGGCTGTGATCCAGGCTCTCTGCAGCCTCTCAGTCTAGGCTGGCCTGACCCCACCCAGCGGGGCCCAGCCACACGTTCTTCAAGCGTGTTCCGCACCCCTAGGGCCAGCGTTGGCCTTTGCCTGAAGCACCTCCTACGTCCCCCGCCTCGTCTCACCCACCCTGGCTCCTCGGCCCAATTCCCCTCGCTTTCTGAGAAAAGGGAGAGAGCAGCCCGGATTGTACATCTCTTCGCCTCGGTCCCTCCAATCCCCGCAGTTCTTCTCAGAGCACGATGAAAGATGGCATGAAGATGATCCGAAACAGCTCAACACACCCTCTAGATAGCACTGGCTTTTTTCGGGGTCAAACACCTCGATTGTCCCAGTAAAGCGCAGGGAGGATGAGTCTGCCACGTACCCCTTCCAGACCTGGGGTTCACACAGCAGTTCCAATCCAAGGGCAAGATCTTGTCCCAGGAGGTCATTTGCCTCCCTGACACCTTCTCCCCGCCTCAATAGAAAAAAAAGCCAAAGCGACCTACAAAACCGCAACTACACCCCAGATTCGGCCCTTGGAGACTTTAAAGGCCATTTTGTAACCTCATTCTGCACCTAGTCACGGAAGCTATGCCAACCACGCAGATTCATGGGGTTCTTAAAATGGTAATTTGGAGTAAAATGTAACTCAAAGAACTTTGAATCATTCATTAGCACCTTATAATTACTCCGCTAATTAGGTTGACACGGCACTTAATCAGGAGTAATACGCCGTCTTGTCACTGGCACTTCCCATTACTCTGACATTCAACAAGAGACAGGTTGGAGACGTCCTAAAGAAAATAATGCAAGTTGATACCCTCCGACGAGGCGTCACAGTCATGCTCCGGGTCCCCAGTGGATCCATAGTGACTGTTTCCTTTCCAAACGATAGGCCGGTCAGAAGGGGGAGGGAACAGACGTACCGGTATGTGGTGTGGCCAGGACACAGGTTTTGGACTCGCCACCCCTGTTCCTGTGCCCCCACGCCGCACTGAACCGTGGCTGCCTAGCCGCTAGTGAACGCCTCGGGCACTGTTTCCCCCGGTTGGGGAGAAAGTGTTTGATCGGGCATTCTTTCAGCACCAGCTCTGATTGGAGCCAAGGCTGGGCCTTGGGTTTTGAGTCCTGGGCTCCATCCACCCGGAGAGTACCTGATGGATGCAGACCCCTCTCTGTTCCTCTAAGGGATCCGCTATTAAGCTGGGCTAAGCCCGGGCGCATGGGTTCTTTGAGCGAAAAGTCACAGCTGGGAGCCTGTTCACCCACTCAGATCTCTGGTTCCTGGAGTTACCCACTTTCCCGCGAGTCCCCTCAGGGATCTCCTTCTCTGTTCTTAGTGTCTTCAGACTATTTAAGCGTGTATTTGGGAAAGCTGAAAGGGCGGCCACGCTGGAGTCTAAAGGTGAGTCGGCCCGGTTCTTTTACTCTTTTCGCCCCAGACTCTGACTTAAGAAAACGGGCAAATAGTCACCACTTATTATTATTTTCATCTTTCCTCTCTTTGGTTCCCTTTCTCTAGTCTCCTTCTGTTCTCTTCCCCCTTTTCCCTTTGCCGCTCAATCGTGATTGTGGACACCTGGGCCACTGGACTTGGTGTTCGGCTCAGGGCTGCAGGCAAAGGGATCTGCGGGTCCTCAAAAGAGCAGTGGGGTCCAAGCGGCGCTCACTGACGGGCTTGCGAGCGGTGTGCCCATTGGTTCCTGGTACGTTGGCGTCGCTCGCTTGCGCGGGAGCGGCCAATGGGGGCGCGGGGCCGGGCGCGCGGCCTCGGCGGCGGGGGCGCGGGCCTGGCGCGGCGCGGAGAGCGGCGGCAGTGGCCGTGACGTCACGGGAGGGGGTCGGCGCCGCCCGTGAGCCGCCGGATTACAAGCGAACGCGCCCGGCAGCGTCCGGAGTCGCCGGGCACCGCGTCTCTGCCGTCTTCTTCTCCTGAGCCTGCTCCTTCTCTTCTTCCTCCTCCTCCTCCTCCGGTTGCCGCGGGCACTGCGGCTGTGCCTGCTCCACAACTTTCCAAGAAAGTTCTGAAACTCGGCTCCGAGGGGGCCTGGTCGTGCGCAACAGCCACCTAGGGAGCTGCGGGGGAGGTCCGAGGGCGTGCAGCCGCCCGGGTTTCGCGATCGCTGCACCTGCCAAGTCCGCCGCCGCCGCCGCTGCCGCCCGGTGCCAGGCTGTGGGCAGACCCAGGCGGCAGCGGCAGCGGCGGTGGCGGCGGCTTAGGGGTCGCTTCTTTCCTCCTGCGCCTTCGCCTAGGTCTCCCGCGCCGCCCCCGCCGCCCCACGTGCGCGGTGGTCCCCCCGAGCGCACGTTCCTGGCTTTCCCTATTTTTCTTTTTTGGTAACCTCCCAGTCTTTCTTTCTCTCTATCCCTACCTTTTGCGTCAGGGGGAAAAAAGTTGTGTCGAAAGTGTCCACCGATTACCACCTCCCCACTGTCCTTCCTTTACCCCCGCCCCACTTTCTTCTTCTTCTCCTTTTTTTTTCCTCCCCCGAGCGGCGGCAACATTGTTTAGTGTTTATTTTCTTTTACGATCAATAGCTTTTTCTTGGTCCGGGCGGTTACTCAACGGCGGAACGGCGTGGACCTCATGTAGAAATGACAACAATGGAAGGGGCCAGCGGGTCGAGTTTTGGAATAGACACGATTTTGTCCAGTGCCAGTTCTGGCAGTCCCGGCATGATGAATGGAGATTTCCGCCCGCTCGGCGAGGCGAGGACCGCGGATTTTAGGAGTCAGGCTACCCCGTCTCCCTGTTCGGAGATTGATACCGTAGGAACGGCACCTTCTTCTCCTATCTCGGTCACCATGGAGCCCCCGGAGCCGCATCTCGTAGCAGACGGGCCCCAGCATCACCACCATCTCCATCACAGCCAACAGCCGCCGCCGCCAGCCCCGGCCCCGACGCAAAGTTTGCAGCCTTCGCCCCAACAGCAACCGCCGCCGCCGCAGCAGCAACAACAGCCAGCAGCCCAGCAGCTGGGCTCGGCCGCCTCGGCCCCCAGGACTTCCACCTCTTCTTTTTTAATTAAGGACATCTTGGGCGACAGTAAACCTCTGGCGGCGTGTGCACCCTACAGCACTAGTGTCTCCTCTCCCCACCACACCCCGAAGCAGGAGAGCAATGCAGCGCACGAGAGCTTTAGGCCAAAGCTCGAGCAGGAGGACAGCAAAACCAAACTCGACAAGCGAGAAGATTCCCAGAGCGACATCAAATGCCACGGTGAGTCGCGCCGCCCCAGCTGCCGTCTGCTTCTTCTCCTGGTTCCCTTCTTCCCTTCAGCTTCCAGCGAATCTCCAATGGGGAATTATTCCGGGAGATTGTTGGGCGATTGGGCGATGGTGAAAGAATGCAAACTGGAGAGAGGCCTGGGCGAGCGATTAAGAGACGCTACCTAAGTTGTGTTTATTGTTTACATTTTTACCTCTTAACCTTTACCGCCATCCAGTTTCTTTCTTCGTTTTACTTAATTTTAATGTATTGGGAGAGGGCCACGACGAGGAGGTCTGACGGGAAATACTTTTCCTTGACAAAAGGGACCATCTTGAGGTGTTTTTTTTTTTTTTTTTCCTTTTTTGGTTGAGACCTTGGGAATGGGAGTGGGGAGTGAGATGGGAGACACAAACTATGGAGTCTAGGGGTGTGATCACAACCTGATGTTTATTCTTTAATGCAAATGATTTTCCCCCAACCCCACGCATATTTTCTAAACACCATCACAGGAATTATCAGATTCGAGGAAGGAAAATTTTCCGTTTTGATTAACAGAACAATTTGGGATTAATACAAGGAAGCCAGTAAAAATTCATAATCATTTTTTAAAAACACCCTTTTTGCCCAGTGGTCCCAACAAAATTCTGTATCCTCAGTAAAATTTTTGGCCCCTTACAAGTAATAGGGAGGTAGTATTTTTTTTTTAAGAATTTATGGAATTGAATTTGTCCATTTGTGTAAAATCAGATGACAATGGAAATTGTCTTTCAACTCCCTTTCTCCATTTTCTCCTCCGACAATGTCATAAGAAGGTATTCTGGTCTTTACATGGTAAGAGTTTTAACATACCATGGGAGTACTTTTTTACCACCTTTACTGATAAGTTATTTATTATTATTAATCTTTGGTTCTCTGGCAAAGATAAGTGCTGACTGGAAGATAGGATATTGGCTTCTCATTTTACTATTATAGTATTAGCATAATAGTGCCCTAAACAGATGTACAGTCTGGTCTGGCGATTTTTCGTGCACCAACCTCCCCAGTGGGTCAATTAGAGAGATTATTGTTCTTCCTGCAGGGAAGATCAAGGAGCGCTGCACAAACGGGTACAAACAGAGAGGGATTGACATATCGATTTCCCAGCATTTCAGTAAAAAACCAAAGTTGACAAATAGAATCCGGAAATCTCTGCACTGTCACCTGGATGGGCTCAATGATTTTGAGTTCAGCTTGGTGTCGGGGCAACAAATTTTTCCAAAGCTTTCAAAGACCCAGTACAGGCAGCTGCAGAAAGCTTGATTCCAACATTTCCCAGGTGCATCTGAAAAAGAGAAATATGTGCCTGTAACTCCCAGTAAACAGAAAAAAAGTTAAACAAACAAAAAGTGTCCTCTTCTAAAAAAAATCCACATAAATGACTCTTTGGAAAGAACTAAATTAGAAAAGTGGTCCTGGTGAAAACAATTAAAAAAAATGGACAGGGTCCTCCCCTACCCCATCAAGGAAAACAGAAACAAAAAGTCTTTTATTGAGAATTATTTTTTAAACTCTTAACTTCCAACCAGAAGATTTTTTTTTTTTTTTAGAAGAAGAAGGGTTCTTTTAGAAGAACCCCTTTAAAACTTTATGATATCTCTCCACAGGGCCCAAGAGTCCCCAGCCAGAAGAAAACAATCCTCTTCGGATACCCTGGCTCAGACCCAAGTATATGTGTGTGAGGGTAGTGGCAGAGTGTAGTCCCCTGAGACCAGTGGTTGTCTTGGGAATGTGAAAGTGTGTGCCAGGAGGATACTCCAACCTTTCCTATTTCAAGCTAACTTACATGGCTGTGTCTGGGTTTCTATTGTAGGAACAAAGGAGGAAGGAGACCGAGAGATTACAAGTAGCCGTGAGAGTCCCCCTGTGAGAGCCAAGAAGCCTCGAAAAGCCAGGACAGCTTTCTCTGACCACCAGCTTAACCAATTGGAGCGTAGCTTTGAGCGGCAGAAGTACCTGAGTGTTCAGGACCGCATGGATCTGGCAGCTGCACTCAACCTTACTGACACCCAAGTCAAGACTTGGTATCAAAACCGAAGGTAAGGCAGGCTCTTTGAGGAGCAGAGATGTCTGCCCAGGTCATAAACATTGCACCAATCTTCTTCCTTCCTGGCCTCTGGAGACTAGGGACTGAGAGTCAGAGAGCCTACTGTGGGTGAGTAGGTGTTTTCAGACTAGGGGTAGGGATTAGCCAAATCTCCAAGGTGAGAGAGACCTTAAGGCAGCTGGAATTGGGCAATTGTGCACTTCTAAGTATCTTAACAGGTGCTACTTTCCCTTGGAAACCTGAGCTGCTGGAATTCCCCACACTTTATCCCCAAATCAATCAAGCCACACCTTCTCAAATTGAGACATCTGTGCAGCTGACACTCAGGCCCAGAGAGCCTGTATGCATGGTGCACCCCTTGGGCCTGCCCCAGGCTGGTTCCAAATGTCTGTAGTCGGCAACATGGCCCAGCCATTGTGGTCCCCACAGAGCTGTCCCACCAGTCTTGGCTTAAATGTGAGGTGGTTGGGAGAGCCAGGGTTACAGCCTTAAGCCTTGGTCCTGCATCTCCTCAGAGATTAGGAGAGTCCAGCTGGGTTAGAATTGAGTTTGCAGCCCCAGGCTGGAGAATCAGGCAGTTGGCCAGGCATCTAGACTGGGTGTCTGTCCCCTATACTGGCTGCCTCCACTGTCTCAATAGGGAGAAAGGGTGCCACAGAGCCTGCCCAGCCCTGCTGCATTTTTAGAAAGGAAATTAAGAAAGCAGCTGGCTGTGCTTGCAAGGTCCTGAACTATAGGACTGAACCTGGGCTGTCTGAGACGAGGTTATTCTGTGTTTCCAAGCCTGGCGCTCATCTCCCTTGTCTCTCCCCCTCCTTTTCTCTCGTTTGTGTTCTAATCGTCCATAAGTGCGGTTGGAAATGCCCATCCAGTTGTCATCTTTACCATAATTTTCTGTCTCATTACATACGGATTCAGCCACCCTAATTCTGTCGGAAAACATTAGTGTCATTTGTAGCCAATTTAAAATGGGCGACATGTTTATTAATTTGGTTGGAGCTGCTGGGTATGGACGGCCCACCAGCCTTACGTTCCTTCATAAGGCATTTGAGCCAAGGGCCTGCTCCTGTCTTCTTCCTAAAGGGGGGTGTAGATGGGGGAGGGAGGAGACCAAGAAAAACTGATCACAGGTTTTAATTGTTACTTGCCCCAGAGGAGGAAGTGTCTTGAAATGCATCTCCCCACCCCAAAGGCCAGGAGGTACTGTCCTCCTGGGAGAGCCCTCTCTCAAACGAATTCCAGTTTGAAACCTTGTCTCCTTCCTTGCCCTAAATCCCCTACTCCCTGTAAGGATCTGTCAGGCTGATAAGAGAATTGTCTCCACAGCCCTGGGGAAAGAGAGGAGCAGGGGTCTGAGGCCCAGGAGAGACTCTGTCCCTTTGTTTACAGTTTTGGTTACTTCTTTCTCCGTGGGGAGGGGGAGAGGCTGAGAGCAGACACTTTGGAATTATTGGGGGAGCACTTTGAAAGAGAATTAAGGGAGGAGGGGGAAGAGTGTGGAAAGAGGTGGTCTCCTTTGATCTTCAGGAAAGTTTCAGGAAGTAGCCACAGTATGAGGGGGACAAGTAGAGCAAAGGGACAGGAAAAGGCAGCAGGAAGCTTATAGGATTTCATCTTCCAGTGTCTCAGACTTTGAGGGTGTAGTTTACAAAATTGGCTTTGGGTTTGAGTCCTCTTGTGAGCTAGGTGGGGGCAGGAAATGCACATTCCCAGTTCCCAGAGCTCTCCCTACTGGGTGAGGGAAAAGGAGAAGATGGGAGAGGACCAGGGAATGGGTCGGGCCTCTGTGCCTGGTGCCTGGACCATGTCCACAGCCGCCTCTGGGTGCATGTACGCCTGCTTTCTTTCAGGACCAAATGGAAGAGGCAGACTGCGGTGGGCCTGGAGCTGCTGGCAGAGGCAGGGAACTACTCAGCGCTGCAGAGGATGTTTCCTTCACCTTATTTCTATCACCCAAGTCTGCTGGGCAGCATGGACAGTACGACAGCTGCGGCAGCTGCAGCTGCCATGTACAGCAGCATGTACCGGACTCCTCCAGCACCCCATCCCCAGCTGCAGCGGCCCCTGGTACCCCGAGTGCTCATTCATGGCCTGGGACCCGGGGGACAACCAGCCCTCAATCCCTTGTCCAATCCCATCCCAGGCACCCCACATCCCCGGTGAAGAAGGAGGGAAGGCTCTGCAATCCCTCCCAATCCCCGACCTGACCTGGACAGCTGCCCCACCTCTTCCCGCACCAGACCTCCATTGCAGCGGACACTGGGAGGCGGAGGAGTAAGAGAGGAAGATACTCACCTATGGGCCAGGGTCCCCAAAGAGGAGCCAGCTTTCTGCTCTCCATCCCAACCCCCCAGAGGCAGGGCTGGAAAGCTCCCCCACAGCAGTGTGACTGGTGAAAACGCTGACCCCACACAAAGTGCAACCAGTAAGTGAAAACATCAACAAAAACAAAACCTCAAGTTCTTTTTTAAAAAAACGACTTTAGGGACAAGCAGGAGGGAGGGAGGGGGGAGGGCTAAAAAGGGAAGAAAGAAGGGCATGGAGAGGAACTGTAGGGGCAGAGAGAATTGTAGGTGGACAGACAGCCTCAAATATCCAGGCAGAGGGTGTTGCCATGGACATTCATCTGCCCCAGAGAAAAGAGGAGGGTGACTGAGAACTTTGCACTGATTTCTCATGACCTTTTTTCTTTTGGAAAAGTGGCATGCTCCATAATATGAAAAAAAAAAAATTGTACATTTGAAAGACTGAGTGATAAGTGATATATCATATTTATTATATGTTGTCCAAAAAAGAGTCACTTATATACGTTAGTAAAAACATGATTTTTTTTCTTTTCATGTCTTTTTGATTCAGTAAAATAAATGCTTAGACAAAAATATAGATTTTTTTGTGATTGAAAATTACAAAAATAAAGTTTATCTTTTTTTAACAAGTGATGAAATCCCAGGGAGCTGATTTTACTAAAGCAGAAAATTATGATGAAATGCGCGACTAGGAAAAAAACAAATTCCTTCCCGAATATTGGGAATTTTCAAAATCTGTAAAACCTTGGTGTGGCTTGTGTAAAACCAGTCCCATTTTTTTCACGCTGGCCTCTTCCGAGCCATTATTTGCTTTATGTGAGCGCCTTTCTTTTTTAGGTGGTTTCAGAGCGGCCGGTGAGGCCACGGGAGAAGTCTGTGCTCGCAGGCTAAGTAGGCGTCCAGCCTCCCCTGCCGCCCCTGCTGCCTGGAGGCCTCTGGTTGACCGCGTGTTGGGACCCCTCTGTCTACCCCTCCCCCTTCTCCTAGGGGTCTTCCTAGGGCGGCGCGGGTCCCAGCGCTGGGTAGCGATGCCGGGAGGGCTGGGCAGCGGGCGGACGCTCCGCCGGCCTCGCAGCTGTTCTGCCGCCCGCGGCTGGGCGCCCGCGCGGCAGGACAGCCTGTGAGCGGGAGGCTGCAGGGCGAGCAATTAGGACACCCCAGGGGACGCGGGGAGGCCCAGCTAACAAACCCTCGTCACGGCTTTGATCCTTGCCTTCTCAGTCCCCGGTGGCGGGCGTCCAGCCCCCATCTCCGCGAGGATCCGCTGGTCCTAGCGAGTTCTCTGTGCTTCGATGCCTGGAGCGGGAGTGCAACGGGGAACTGTGGTTGAGACAGGCGTACTAAAACGTCTTATCCGCGCCCCTGAAACGGCCGAGACCCAAAAAGAGAAATCTTGCCCAGATTGTGGAGGAGACCCGCTGCCGGCTTGCGGTGTGTGTGTGTGTGTGTGTGTGTGTGTGTGTGTGTGTGTAAAATGTTCGTAGCACCCCGGCCAGGGCTTGACTTCCGACCGCAGTCTCCCTAAACCAGGCTGATTCCCCACCAAGCCCAGCTTTCAGAAACGGCGTGAAGGCAAACTGAAGCGTACAGCTATTGAGCTCTCCCACTCCTCTCCAGCCCTGAGGTCACTTTCTGAGAAGCCGGAAAGTCGGATCCCCTTATCTGAGTATCCTCACATCTCTATCCTCGCTCCTGCCCTAGTGTAGTGACAAAGGGTAAGACAACTAAAACACATCTAGACCTGGCCTCCAACTTTCTCTGATGCTTGAATCTTCCTAGATTTTAAAACATTGTTTTTTTTCTTTTAAACAAGGTGGAATGGTGTGGGAATGTAAATTAAGGAGTGCTGGGAAGGAAGAAGGAAAGAAAAAGGTGAAATCCGGGAGGAAATTGCCTCGGGCGCCTTGATTAAACCTTGGGTAATTAGGGAGTGGTTTGCAGATTTCTCTCCAGCTCATCAATTTGCTTTAAAAAACGGTCCTGGTCTTCTTTGATTCTAACAAAAGGGTTTGGCCTATCCCTTCTCATTTTTTCCCTGCTGAGCTGGGACAAACTCAGACAGCTGGGCTTGGCTGGAAACTGGGCACCACTATGTCCAGTGGGGATGCCCAATGCCTGGGTACTCAGCAGACTCTCCTTGTTCCATTTTAGCTGTGCTCGGGTTGGATTTTTAAAATAGAGTTTCAACAGTTAGCAATGATTTGCCTAAGCCTGAAAGAGCACTTTCTGAGGCTTCTTGCTGCACTGGGTGTGGGTCTGGTCAGCTCTGGATACAAGGAGAACCTGGGAGAGTACAACATTTACACCTGAGAATGACCTCAGGTCCAGGTGGGGGAAAACACAAAACAAACTTACAAATGAGGCAAGGCCATAACACCTATTTGCTGCCAGAAGCCCACCACTCACTCTGAAGCAGCCCACTGCTGCTTCACTTTCAACACTGAACTTGTACTCCCTAAGTGGTCAGTTCATGGGGAAGCATTGTGCCTCCAGAGAGCAAGGTTTTGCAATTGACTTCATATTCCACCACTGCTAGTAATTATTCTGCATATATTAGAGTCCCCCCACCCAATTTACTTCTCCTCAAAGTCATGTTTTCTTACACCTCTTATGTAATGCAGCTGAAAGTGTCAATCCCCCTTTTCTGAATTTGTTTGGGTTACTTGCTGTTGCATGCAAATTGGAAAATTCAATGTGGGGAAGATTGTCCCAGGAAGAAAGATGAGTACTGGATCCCTTCTTCTCATCCATTTCTTAATTTTTTTTCTTTTCCTCTCCCACCCTCAGGCAGTGCTGCAAAGGGTGTCTTAGTAGGTGCCCAGCATTCAAAAGCCCCCAAATTACCGCTTAAAAGTAAAACAAACCTAGTCCATTCCCCCAAGAGACATCCTTCTGTACTTCTATGCTTGTCCAACAAAGTTGGGGGTTTGACTAGAAAGTAAGGAGAGCAGCCTCAGGTTTTCTGAGAAGTAGAGCAAGCTAGCATGCCCTTTCTCCTGAGAGATCTAGAGTTAGTTACAGAGGTTCCAGGATGGCTGTCGTTGGGAGCTGCACTTGTTTTCTCTACCTTCAGCTGGTGTCTGAAGGGCACTCCATGGCTGGACTTCTTTTGCATTCTCTTTTGATTAAATTGAAGTCTGGCAAAACAGACTTTCAGTGGCCCTTGTTTCCTATAGGAACACAGGAAAACAAACTTGTTTCAGAGATGTTAAAAAAAAAAACCCACAAAGAACTCTTAGATCTGCCTACCCCAATATTAGCTCAGGGACCCCAGCAAACCCAGCACAAATCTGTAGTTGAGTGTGAAGGAAGGAATTGCAGGCAGCTGTTCTAGCCCAACCCAGTGGCTTTCAATGAGTTCTGAAATAGCGATTGCTGCTTGGCTTCATGCCTCCAGCAAATATACCTACCACCCTGTATCAGTTTATTTTTGCTCCACCCCTTAAAATGAAAGCCCTCATGATGGCAAATTAGACAGGCGATTTCCTCTGTTGCAAATAAAACTGCTTACTTACCCTTAGACCAAGTCTTCCCTCCTCCTCCTTCTCTGTCATCTGACTCCTGTCTAGGCAGCCCTTCCCCAGGAGCCTTCTGAATCCCACCTCCCCTCTTTAAACAGGCGGCTTGTGAGTAGTTTGTTTTGCTATATTTTTAACTTTCTAAAAATATTTGGAAAAGCTCTCCCCAGGGCTAGGGAAACTTTAGTTCTTGTTAAGTCACGTGGTTACAAAAATATACTAGAAGAGCGCTGCTTATTTTCTTGAAAAAGCCAGGCAGGGCTTGAAGTCAACATGCTTGGAAAGAAACTGACTTTTCACCACTAGTGGGCATGGTCAGGGGCAGGGCCAAGCCTCCAAAGGAACTGATGATTCCTCTGTATCTCTGAATCCTTGGTGAAAGAAAGCTGGCTAGCCTGGTGCCCTGGCTGTTGCCTAGAGAGAGGTGTGGCAGATGGGTGGGGTGGGGGTTTCTCCAGGGTTTATTCCATGGACTTTAGTGTCCCCAGGCTTTCTCATTCAGTCTTTGTCCAGCCCCACTTCCTTGGCCAACTCTAACCTTCTATCTGCCACTTGCTTATTTTTCTGGAGTTGGGGCCTTTCAGTCAGTGCCCAGCAGATGGTCCTTCTTACCTCTAGCAGGTTGAATACCCTCAGACTGGGTAAGGGTAAGTGTGTAGGGAGGAGGGGATATGTTTCAAAGAAAGGAAGGTGTCACTGGCCTCTTGCATTAGAAAACCAGGTCAACTGTCTCTGGACGATGAGATGACCCAGAGTTTTCCCTTCCCCAGCTCCCCTGCTGAATTTTGAAGGTCTTTGTCAATCTGAATATTGGGTGGACCGTCTGCGTCAATGTCATATTTTCTATTTCTTTCCTCTCTACTTCTCCAGTCTCTCGCCCTGCCTCTCCTATTTTCTCTCCTAGCACCACAGACAGCTCCCAGGTCTCTCAGTGGAGCCGGGTGCCGGGTCCAGGCGGGTTCCCTGCAAAGCCTGGGCGACCGCAGGGGGCGCCCGGGAAGGGTCGGCGGCACCCGCTGGGGAGGTCCTCGAGGTGATTACAAAGAGTCCTCCCCGGCAGCGTTTCCTGATTAGCTTAAGTCCAAACAGGGTCACATTCCAAAGAACAAAATCTTCAGATCAATAAAGTAATTCAAAAACCAAAAGATCTCGGGGTAAGTAGTACTCTGTGACAGATCAACTCTAAACCGCCTCTGTTTAATAAGTTCTTAGTGGAAGCCAACTAGGGAGGAACGGGGCTTCTGGTCTGCTGCTCCGAAGCCTTGCGCCGCGGCTGCAGCGAAGGCGCCAGAGGAACCTCTCTAAATGGAACGCATTTCCTCGGCTCGCACAGCACTGA